TTCAGTTTCTTGGATCATGTTTGGAATAGTCAATTTCTTCTCGATAAGACTTCAGATTTTAGCAAGTTCTGGACTTTGGATTTAACTAATGAACTCATGCAAGGGTGATAATAATGAAAGCTCCTATTTATTGAGCACTGACTATATTCCAGGCATGTGCTTTAGAAATGTGTTTAAGCACCACTAAAATCCTGCAGCCCTTTTGGGTTGTGAGCAGAGGAGATTGCAGTTTCCACCAGGAAGGCCAGCTGGTGGCAGGAAGGGCTCCGTGCTCCGTGCCGCCCTGTCCACTGTGAGGCAGAATGGCCCAGGCTGTCTGCTGACCACCTTGTGGGTGGCTGGGCTGTCTCTGAACCTCTGCCTGGCAGCAGAGAGTATTAGTCAGAGAAACAGAACAGGCAAGACAGAGAGAGACTATATAAAGGGGATTTATTTGGGGAATTGGCTCATGCAATTATGAAGGCTGAGAAGTCCCAGGATCTGGCATCTGTAAGCTGGAGAACCGGGGAAGCCGGCGTGTCATACTCTCTGCATTCAAAGACCCAGGGGAGCCAATGGTGTGAGTCCCAGAGTCCAAAGGCCCAAGAACCAAGAGCGTCAGCATCTGTGGGCAGGAAAGATGGATGTCCCAGCTCCAGAGAGAGAACTTGCCCTTCCTCAGCTTTTTGTTCTACCTGGGCCCTCAACAGATGGGACGCTGCCCGCCCACTCCACAGAGGGCGGATGGTCTTTACCCGGTCCACTGATTCAGTGCTCACCCCTTCCAGAAATGCCTTCACAGACACACCCAGAATGTTTTCCCAGATTTCTGGACACCCCTCAGCCCAGTGAAGTCAACACACAAAATTAACCATCCCGAGGAGTGCGCGGCTGCTGTGCCCGGGAGCTTCCGGAGACCCAAGGAGAGGGGACCCCTAAGCCACCAGCTTCTCCTCATCCTCCCAGGCCAGACGCTGCCCCTCCGTGGCCCCCTGCATTCCCAGGCTGACCACAGGCGTGGCCCGGTGGCCGTGGGAAGGGCCCGGTGAGGGCTGGGGGGACGGGAAGAGTTAACCGGGCAGCGGGTTCCGTTTTATGCAGATGTTCGCCTTCCCTCTCCGCATCTCCAGGCTGGCTTCCACGGTGACTTCATTAGCAGCAAGCTGCTAATTAAATTTCATATTTATGATCAGAAAATAAAATCATTGGACCTTTTTGAAATAGGATTTTATGAGTTTTGGCTCAGGCAGCTGAATCAGCAGTCAGGGGCCGGCACTGTGTAGAACCACAGTTTCGAGGCGGAGATAAAGAAAACAAACAACGCCGGGGAGGAGTCGCATCCTCAGTCCTTGGACCAGCCTGGCTGGAACTGGGTTGGGGGCCTCGGTGGGACAGTCCCGGGCCCACTGTGGGAGCCCAGGCGTTGTGAAACGGAGCTTTCTCCCGGCCACCCTGGGCTTTGGGAGGGCTGGGGCACCGAAGCCCCTGAGGCCGAGTCAGGTGTGCTCTGTCCCGGGGGTCACCGAGCCCCTGCAGGGCTGTTTCGCTGCAGAGCCAGCTGTTCTGTATTTTCTTTTTCTCACCACACTAGAGAAATCATCCCTCACCCACAGGCTCAGACGCCTCCCTCACTGGGTGAGCATGCCGGAAGCTCTCAGATGCCACTTCCTTTCCGGGTATGACTTAGTCACTGCCACCTTCTCCCAGGGGTCCCCGACGTGCCTTCTCCTCCGTGGCCTCACGTGGCCCCCTCTTCTCGGCAGGTGAGAGGGCTCAGCTCCTGCCACCCTGCCGCGGTGGCATCCTTTGTGGCGCCCCTCAGACGAGCCCAACAGGAATGTCCTCACCCTCTCGTGAGGAAAAGGGAATGAAGCCTGAATTTTACCATTTACGTTTTGGTCTCGCCCACAAGGAGTGTTCTTGAATCCCAGAGTTGGAAGGGACTTTTAAGGGGGTCCAGCCCCACCTTTGAATGTGGGACATCCCTTGCCCTGAAATCTCCAGCCTCGTGACAAGGCAGCTCCTCTGGTGTCTTTTTGGAGGGTTTAAGCCTCCTGCATCTCCTGCCCCCGCCGGGAAGGACCAGCTCTCCCAGCGCAGGAGAAAGCACGAATGGCAGGAAGATCGGGAAGCAGAGGTGTGAGAAGAGGGGCCATCCCTGCCTCTCCCCTACCCCTCTGGCCTCCCCGGGCTTGACACCTCCCCATCCAGACCTTCTGCGACATGGGGGTGTGGCAACAGGGCCTGGTTCACGGGGCCGTGGCAGCAAAGGCAGTGTGAGAACACGCGTGTGCGGGGCCAGTGCGATCTGCAGGCAGTGGCACCGGGTGACCCGGATAGTTTTGTTCTCTCGGGGCTCCCACCGCCGGCTAGGAGAAGCGGTTGGGTGGGTGCGATGGCGCCCACGACCCCTCCCAGCTCTGGAACTCCCGCATCTTACGCTCTGACTCTAGAGTTGCATCTCCCGCTGTCCTGTGCCCTTCCCCGATGTGCTCTGGGAGTCGTCCCTCCCTGGACAAGGTCTGAGTCACAGCGGGTCACAAGAGTGTGGTCCTGGCCCTGGAGCGGGACCCAGCACCACCCTACGAACCTCCCGCCACCTACCGTGAGACCCCAACAGATCCCACAACCTCCGAGCCCGTTTCCCAGTCAGAACCACAGGGAGGGTGGAAGGAGACCGGGTAAGCAGGGTGTCCCCACTCTGCTGTTCCCGAGGTGGCAGCTGCCAGGACCAGAGTCCTGGAGAACAGGGGCCGCTTGTCCCCCTCCCGCTCCTCCGTCAGTGTGCGTCGGTGGGCACGCGTGAGCGGCTAGTGCCCGGGAGTGCCGAGGGAGACGTGCGGCCCTGTCTCCCCTCGGGAAGGAGCCGTGCCGTCGAGCAGCACGAGCCGGGCCGTCCCCGGGAACACGCAGCCCCCAGCCCCGAGCTCTGCCTAGATGCAGCGCTGGGCTCGCCTCGTCCAAGCAGCACCCCTGTGTCCTCGCTCACCAAGAGGGTGGTGCTGTCACTGTCCCCACCTGTGCCCCAGACCCCCCCACCCACTGGGCCTGGGCCCTGCCCTGTGTAAGCCGTGTCCGTGGCCCCCCTGCCTTTTGGGTTTGGCCGAAGGGAGAGCAGAGGGCGGACTGGGGTCTGGCGTTGAGGCCCCCAGGCACCTCTGGGGGAGTCTATGGGTGTCCTGGCCCTGTCTGGCAGTTCCTGCAGCCACTGTGCCCACTCCCGCTCTCCCTCTGGCCCTTCAGGCTCAGTGAGAAGCCCTGCCTCGGTTGCCAGCCCCAGGGTGCTGCCCGGTTCCCTGTGGGCTGCCTGCCCACACCTCTGTGAACTGTCCCTTTACTAAACTCTCCCCAGACCCAGCTCATGCGGCATCTGTCTCCTGCCAGCGCCTGACTGAGTCAGAGTGGAGCATCTTGCCCAAGGTCACCCAGCTGGTCGAAGCCCTGCCCAAAGCCACTGTGGGTACCCAGGGAGGGGGACACGGGAAGAGAGGGCAGTCGGGGACCCCTCCCTGGACGAGGAGCACTGCCGAGGACACCTGAGACTGGACAAGTGTCTGACGTGCGGGTGGTGGAGGAGTCTGCGGGTGGTGGAGGAGTCATGGGGTGTGTGAGTTTCCTGAAGCTGCCTTAACAAATGCCCCCAAGCTGGGTGGCTTAAAACCATAGGAATTTATTCTCTCACAGTCAGGGAAGCCAGAAGTCCAAGATGCAGGTGTCACCTGGGCTGAGCTCCTTCCCAGGACATGGGGGGTCCTCCCTGCGTCTTCCATTCTGGGTGGTTGTGGCCTCCTCGGGGCCCCCTGGCCAGAAGCACCTTCACTGTACCTTGGCCTCCGCCTGCGCTTGGCCCTCTCTGTGCCTGTGTGTGTCTTCTCCTCTTAGCATGACAGCCGTCCTTGGAATTGGGACCTCATCCTAACTTAATTGCACCTGTAAAGGCCTTATTTCCAAATAAGGTCATGTTCTGTGGTTCTGAGAGGACATGAATTTGGGGGGCACTATTCACCCCCAAGTGGGTTTGGAGTGGGAGGGGCATAAAAGGATGCATGATCCAGGGAGGAGGGGTGGAGAGCAGGCAGGGGGAGGCTGGGGCGTGCAAAGTCCGGGGGCCACGTCACCCGTCCCGAGCAGAAGGCCTGCGATCACAGGGCCTGGCACACCAAGTGTTGGCGGGATGCCCAGGAACTGGGGTGCTCCCCTCGCCGCGTACCCCAGAGCCATGTAGCTTACTGATCATACCCCACCTTTTCGGCAAAAGGAAAGGGAACATCAAGTAATCTTGTGACCGGGACAGGCTGGGAAGCAGAGGGATCGGGACAGCAGGGTAGATTTGGGCCCTCGTGTGGGGCCAGGACGCACAGGGTGAGAAACTTGTGTCCAGTCGTGATAGGAAGGGGTTGGGGGCTGTTGGCAGCTTTTAGGGAGGGAACGGTGCCAACTGCAGATTACCTACACGCGCAGGCTGCTCCGAGGGGCGATTTTCACGCATCGCCCCATCCATCCTTCCCACGACACTTGTGGCCCCCATTCCCCTGTGAAGACAGGTCATTCCAGCCCATCTGCCCCCGGGGTGTCACACCCCAGGGCCTCCCAGGGAACGAGGTAATCAGAGCTCTGCAGTATCTGTGGCGCAAGGGCCCTGCTGGAGAGTGGCCGAGAGCAGACACAGGCTGCCAGAGACGCTTAGTGGTCCAAGGTAGACGCCAGGTGGTGGCTGCAGACAGGTCCAAGGTACTCTGGGTTCTGCGCCCACTGCAAATGCTGACAAGTCCAGAGGAGCAAAGCCTATAATATGATGTGTGCTCGTAGAAGTGGCTTCCCTGGAATGTTCTAGGCCCCGCACTTCCCACTGCGTGGTCTTCCTCCTCCGTGGGGTTCGAAGGCGGAGCAGGCCAGAGCTATCTCCTGGGTGAGGGCTGGCCAGGTGCGTGGGGCGGGAAGAGCAGCACTGCCCACAATGGTGGTGACGATGAGACTGGGCTCCTGTCCCCGACGGCATGTGCCACCCGTTCTCTGCCGCGCCCGCCTGCCATGCAGAGCACAGGGCTCCTGTGCCCTCCCAGCCTCCCCGCTGCGTGGGGTGGACAGTCACTCGCAGGCTCCGCTCAGAAGAAGAAAGGGGGAAGTAGGCACCCCCGCCCCCACCACTGCCCCTGCTAAAAATAGAGGCAGCATCTGAGTGGGGCGCCGGCGTGGGCTTCCGGGGAGGCTGTGGTTCCCTGAAACGTCGTCGGTGTCTTCTGGGGGCCGCACGGGCACCCAGCTGGAGGAGAAGGGATTCGGGAGCAGCTCGAGACCCCGGGACCTCGCTTGCTCCCAAACAGTGAGTATATTTCCCAGCCAGTGGGTCCCCCGGCCAGGCCTGCGTGTGCAGAGCTGGTGAAGCCCCACCCTGGGGGCTCCCATGGGACCCCCCCTCCCTGCACCTGGCGCGCTGCTCTCTCCTGAACCCGTGTGCTCTCACGGCCTCGTGCCTGATCCTTTTCACCTCTTGCTTTCCTAAACAAGACTCGGCATCTCAGCAGCGGTGCTGGGCGGCTGTTTCACGCCACGGCTGGGATAGCACAGAGCGCAGACTGAGCATGCAGGAGGCGCTCTGTAAGTGCCTGTGGCTCACGAGGACCAGGATGCTCCTATCATCATGTGCTGGGTCTCATTTTCTTCTGGCCTAGGACAGTGCCAGGCTGAGGTTGGGGGGCGGTGCACAGAGGAGCATTGTGGAAGGATGGAGGTGCCCGGGCCCCAGCCAGGGCAGAGGAAGTGTGTGCAGTGGCTGTTTCCAGAAGCTGGGGCCATGCCTTTGTCAGAAGCAGCTGTCCTGCAGCCTGGCCCTCCCTGGGTCTGGGAAGGGATCCTGCCCCCACCCAGAGCACCCTTCAGTGGGGTCCTCTGGGGTTTCTTGAGGTTCCAGATGCAAAGAAATGAGCCTGTGCCTCACTGGGGCTCACCCAAGGCCCAGTCCCCACCCACCTGCAGAGTGGACCAAGTAACACTGAGGACAAACCAGGTGATTGTGGGCCAAGAGCTTCCCAAGGAGGCAGCAGGTCCGAGGACCCCAAGGGGGACATTCCTCTCCTCCTGGAGTCTCTTCAAGTCATCTGAGCAGATTTCTGGATTCCTGATGAAGTGCTTTAGAAATTCGTTTTTTGTTTTTTTCTTTTTTTGAGACAGGGTCTTGCTCTGTCACCCAGGCTGTCGTGTAGTGGCAGGATCACAGACCACTGCAGCCTCAAACTCCTGGGCTCCAGCGATCCTCCCACCTCGGCCTCCCAAAGTTCTGGGATTACAGGCCTGAGCCAAGGCGTCAGGCCCAGGAATTCCTTAAGTCCCTCAGGGTTGAAAAAACTTTGGCAGCCCCTTGGGATGTTTTGCTTTATGAGAGACTGTGATCTTGTTCTGTGGGTTTAAACTGACTTCACTGGTTTGAAAAAGTCAGCCAGGTCTCAGAGGCCTCCTTTAAAGGGAGAACCAGAATGATACATTCAAGGCGTCTCGAAGTTGTACAGTGGATGATACCTCTCAATGCAGAAATTGCAGGGTGATCCCTGGCTGTCTCACCTGCGGGGTAGAGACCGGCCTGCAACACATCCGTGTCACCTGCATACCTGGCTTCCTACATGGGCACATCCAGAGCCCCTTGCACACAGGCGAGAAGAGACAGCTGATCACAGCGCAGCCGGGTCACCCCACCACTGAGGAGACGCGTTCCTAACAGCCTCCGTCCACACGGATCGAGGGGTTCTGGGTGCAGCTTTGACAGGTGCCTTATTTCATGATTGGTGGTCGTGTCGTTCGACACACACATAAAAAAGGCTTCCCCGTTTGCATCTGATTTATCGCCGTTCACTTCCATGGCAAGAAGCTAGCGATGATCTGAGCCTGCAGAGTCCCGGGTCCCTGCTGGGTAGCGCATTTCCATCACGGCCCCGGTGTGGGCCGCATAAAGTGTCGGAAAAACCTGGCCTCGTGTTTGCTGTTCTCGTATTTGAGCAGAGAACATGAAAGGAAACACCCACGAGCCCCCAACACCAACAAATTCATTTAAAGACATTTTCATACACAATAGATCCTTAAAAGAGATTGGGGGTGGGCCTGCCGAGAGAGTCCGTCCCCTTAGAAGAAAAACATGGGCGTATTTTGAGATGTCGTGTGGCACCGTCTTCCTGACTCCTCTCACCTTGCACGGATGTGTGGAAAGTGTGAGTCTAGGTATTTTTAAGTGCAAGATCACCAGTGGCTTTGAAACAGGTGAGCTGGCTTACGGGAAATTACTCCAGTTCGTGTGCAAGTTGCTTGCGGTCTCAGGAACTCTCGGGAGTTGTGGTGTGGACTGAGATCATCACACACACGCTCTCGGACACACACACACCCCCGCTGGACCCGCCCTCTCACTTTCTCACCCTGTGCCCGGCCCACGCCCACCTCCCACTCTCTCGGTGTCGCCTGTCTGCATTTCTCTTTCCTGTTCTCAGCTCTGCACCTGTGGGCACCAAATAAAACCCTGAGTTCTTGTTCCCTTTTCTCTGCCTCCAGCCGGTGTCCCGTCCCCTCTTCTAAATCACCCTCCTCCTTTCCCTGCCGGGTCATTCCTGCAATCCCCACGTGGACTGTCGTCTCCTCCGGGGATTCGGGTTCACAAGCCTCGGGAGTCCTCCAGTGAGGAGTTTGTGGCTTCCCCCTGGGGCTCCCATCCCAGCTCTCACCCCGAAATGTCCCCTCTCCAAGCCCCAGTGGCGGGGCTGTTGGAAGGTCGGTGTCACCATGGGCTCGGGGCCTGGCCCCTGCTCACCTGTGCTCAAGAAATTGTAGCTGTTTTTATTTAATTTTAGCTATTGAGGTAAGATTTACATCACATAAAATTCACCATTTTAAAATCAACAACCCAGTAGCATTTGGAACATTCACAGTGTCATGCAGCCACCAGCTCTATGTGGTTCCAGAACATCTTCATCACCCCAAAAGGAAACCCTGTCCCCCTTAGCGGTCACCCCTCCAGTCACTGGCAGGCAGGTGCCAAGCTGCTTCCTCTATGGATTTGCTGTTCTGGACATTTCATATAAACGGATCTCACAGTTGTGAGCTTTGTGACTGGCTTATGTCCCTGGGCATACTGTTTGCAAGGTTTGCAAGGTTCATCTATGTCACAGCAGACGTTAGAACGCCATTCCTCTGCAGGGCTGAGTAATATTCCGTGGCGTGGGTAGCATGTCTGTTAAATGTCCCTGGCACTCAGGGTCCGGACGGCAGGGCTGTGAAGGCGGCTGGCAGAGGGGGAGGAGGAGGGCCCTCTCAGCCCCAGAGGCAGCGAGGGTGCCAAAGCCAGCACCAAGTGTCCCCGCCCACCTCCCTCGCTCACCCCACAGGGCAGTCCGGTCCTGTCGGTGAAGGCTGAGCTCCGGGCCGGCCTTCCAGAAGGCACGTGGGGGGAGGAACAGCCTTGGCAGGAGAACAGGGGTGGCCAGCCTTCCCGAGCTGAGCTGCCGTCTGGCTGTGCTCCTGAGTACATCACAACAATTAATTACAGCCGCCCTTGATTATCCCAAGTAATAGGGGACAGGAACAACACAGAGATCATTGAAACATGGGGCTGCAGGAGCTGCAGGTTGGGGCGGGGGGCGTTCCATGAGAGGGCTGTTTATTTTGTAGTTCATTATAAGTAAAGAGAACCCCCCACTTCCTAATTCCTCTCTCCCCCCCCCTTTCTCTCTCTCAGAAGCCTGATGTCTAATTGGAATCATAAACCTATTTTGCTCCCAACATAGTGAATGCTCAATTAATGTATTTTAACTGACGGGCTCTCTGGGCATCTCCCTGGCAGAGCAGTCGGAGGCGGAGGGGCTGGCTGGTTTGGATTTCGTTTCTGTGCTCGCCTAGTCTCGATGGAAACGCTCATTGTTATAGTAATTGTGGTAATAGGAGGACCGGATGTGGGATCACACTTTATTCTTCTAGAAATGCCTCCTGTAAGCAGCAATGTGACCATGAGACACCCGGAAGGAGGGGAAAGGGGACACGTCGGGACTCTGGAACCTCCACAAACTGGGTGCCCGGTCCTGGGCATCGAGAGAGGTGGTGGTTGCTCCTGGCAGGTTGCATGGGAACCCTGCAACCTGAATCTGTCCTGAATTGGCAGATTTGTTAAAGATTGAGACACTTCTATTTTCCTGTCTAGTTTAAAACTGAAGATCCCTGTTGCATCCTGCAGTTTTCCATCACCGGCATCGTGATCCTTCGTTTTCCTCCTGGGAAGCCCCGCCGCAGTCCAGGGTGGCCCTAGGTTAGGTCTTGGGAGCCTGGTCCCTTCCCAGGGGCTGCCAGCCTCCGCCTCCGCCTCCGCCTCCGCCTCCGCCTCGCCGCGGTTTGCTCACTGAGTCATTCTGCACCCCGGCTCTGAGATTGGGTGAGCGCCCACTGCGTGCAGACACCGTGGCACAAGGTGTTGCGTCCTGGTCGTCCAGGAATGTCACCTGGTGAAGCAGTTACCGTTCACACCTGTTCCCTTACGCAGCGAGGGAGTGACGGGTTGCTTGTGATCCCCAAAATGATGGCTGGTATCAGGTTATCAATTTTCAAAGAATGCGAATTCCACAAACAGGACTGAACTCCAGAACGCCCCGGCGGCTAGAATGCACTTTCCTGGAAGGCAGGAAGGTCCTGCAGGTTCTGGCGGTGCTCCGGGGAAGGGGCGTGCTGCAGAGACCCGTGGTGGCCCTAACACGCGTGTCTGGGGCACCGGCACGTGGAAGCTGTCCTAGGGCAAGAAGGCAGGACCAGCCAGCCTGCCGGCATCTCACCCAGGAACAGCGGTTTGAGACGTGGTGGCTCTGTCCCGGGCGGGTCCGACACTGGAGAGCCACCTCTTCTAGGCGGCTACCCGGGACTGGTCGAGAGGAGGGATGGCTCGGCACGGGGCTCCAAGTGCTGCACAGCAGAGCCACCTGGGGGCACGAGAAGGGCACCTGAGCCCGTCAGGCTGTCGTGCTGGCAGCTGTCACCACACTCGGGGAGATAAAGGTCTTATCGGCTGAAGGGAAGAACCGCAACAAGGAAAGGAAAGCCGGCATTTAGCCATTGGAAATCAATCACTTTATAAATATTAAACGCCTGTTTATGTAAGGACTTGTTAGGCCACAGGGTGTACAAGGAAATAGGAGGTGGGTCCATGCCCAGACATCACAGGGACCAGGGAAGGCATAAAAAGATGCGCACACCACCAGCTGGGTGAGTTTCAAACCAGAAGCCCAGACAGAAGGATTGAGGATAAGTCTTTGAAGTTTTCCTCTCAGTGCTGTTCGGTGTGGAGGCTGTTACACAGGGTGAGGA